TGAAGCCAGGGTCCGGGAGGAACGCTTTGCATTGTTGGAGCAAGGTTTCGATGAAGAGCTCAAGAATAAAGAACTCGAAACCTGTCGCTTGGAGAGGGGACATGAAAATGGACCTCCTCCCGGACCAAAGAATGAGATCTATGTGAGGGATATGACTGCTGCTGAAGTGAGATTGACTATTCCAGCATTGGTCAAGGCCTTGACCATTCATTTCGATCATGAGGCAATTCGACCAGTTCCCTTGGGCCAGATAGTTCCTAAGGAACGTGTGATCAGGTCCCGTATGGTGATTGTCAACAAGAAGCAATTGGTGCAGGGTTTTGAACCAAAAGGAAGACTTTGTGTTGGAGGCCATCGTGATCCAGACTTGGGCAAGTATGATGCTGCAAGTCCAACAGCACTTTCTCTAGCACATGCCCTTCTCCTTTGCATCGCCACGACCTTAAGGTGGAGTGTTAGCATTGCCGATGTCACAGCGGCCTTTTTGCAAGGCCTGTCCTTGCCTAGATCCGATCCACTGTATGTGCAAGCACCATCTGGATGTCCACCGGAAGTACTTGAATATTTGCGGTGGAGACTTGGCCCTGACAACAGGAGCGATGTGTTTGAAGCCACCAAGGGCATTTTCGGACTCAGCGAAAGCCCCAGATTGTGGTACTTGAGATTCAAGGAGACCCTGGCTGAGATTGCATTCCACGAGTCTCAGTTGGTGCCATACCTTTTCATGAAGCACAACGATCAAGGACAATTGATCGGCTTGATCACCTTGCATGTTGATGACGCCTTATTGGCCGGAGGACCAGAGGTTGAAGCTGACTGGAAGACATTGCAGTCTCGATTGAAGTTTGGCAGCTGGACTGATTTGAAAGAAGGAGGAAAGTTCCTAGGACGTGTGATGAAACAAAGCGAGGACCGTGAGACCATCACCGTGGACATGAACATATACTGCCAGAATCTGTCGGAGATTGACATCGAGACCGCCATGAAAGACGAGGATTCAGTTTCTCCCCTTCAGGCAACTCAGCTGCGTGCCTTGGTTGGACAGCTGGGATGGCTCGCCAAGCAGGGGAGACCCGACTTGGCTTTTGCTGTGTCTTACCTCCAGCAGAATCTAGTGGATGCCACTGGAAGTACAATTCGACTAGCCAACAACACCGTACACAAGGCCAAACAGGAGACATGTTACTGCATCAAGAGTTTGGGGTGTTCCTTGAAGGACATGATGGTGTTGGTGGCTACTGATGGTGCTCTAGCCGCTATGCCTAGAGGAAAGTCGCAGCTGGGCATCTTTCTGATGTTGGCTAATCCCAAGGTGCAAACCGAAGTGAGCGCTGTCGCGCCAATTGAGTGGTGCAGTACCTCGTGCAAGCGTGTGGTTCGCAGTTCCTCCGCAGTTGAAGCAGCAGCTGCATCATTGGGATACGAGCACGCTGAGTTCCTGAGGGCAATGCTTTGTGAAGTCAGAGAAGCTGGATTTGTGATGAGACGATGGTTCGAGCATGTGAAGGAATGCCCGATCTTGCTGATCATCGACGCCAAAGTGGCGTACGATTGCCTGTCCAGCGATGAATTGCCCCAGGATAGGAGGACCGCCCTTGACATCCGTGCATTGAGAGAAAGCCTGTCTGACCTGGTTCGTCTTTTTTTTGGTGATGGATGCCCGGACAGGAGCAGGCTTCCGATAGCCTGACAAAGCACAAGGGAAACAACGTCCTTCAGTCCATCATGGGCACAGGTCGTTGGACGATCGTGGAAGATGACACGTGGCAAGAAGTCCGAGCCCAACAACGCCTTACACAGAAGGCTTACAAAGGTCGGCTAAAAGCCCACCGGGGGACGGCAGGTGAGTCAAAGGAGACTTGCTAGTGCATGTCCATGTACACCATCCTTTGAGTTGTTCTGAAGCCCATTGCGGCCCAACTCCCACTTGCAGGTACCAAAAAGGAGTCGCCCGCTGTTGAGCTTTTGTCCATGGTTGCGCTCGGTTCCCTACCACAATAAGTCATCCAAACATGACAGGGCAGTTGATGGCTGGGTATTCCGCCACCCCGCAAGGAACGCGTCATGCATTCCGTACTTCCAAAGTGAGTGCCATTCTGGGCTTCAAGCAAAGAGGCGCTCATCGGCGACCACCTGCAGAGGGGAAGCGCAACGAACGGTCCACACGCGCGTACGTCCCCCGTGCGACCACTTCCAAAAATGTTGCTCGCTCTGTGAAATCCTCACGGGCTTCGAGGCCTCCATGGCGTGGCCGTTCACGGCTCTGAGCAACGAGGACCTGGGCAGCCAATTGTGAGTCAGTCAGTGGGTATAGCATGGTCTATAAACCACCACCCGGTGACTTCATTGTAAACACCACCGCAAAGTAGCTCGACTGCGAGTGGTGCCCGCAACTGTGACCAAAGGTCCCTGGTCTGAAACCAAGCTGTGGACCTAACTTGAGGGCTCTCACTCCAAGCCCAAGGCTCGGATTTGCGCAGGGAACACGTCCAAAAAAAACAAGACGTAACAATAGCACGGAAGGCTATAGAATCTTCCTCGTTACTTATAGTGATGGCGTCCACCCAACAGCAGCCACCTAGTGGCTGCTCGTGATGGCATCCACCCTACATTCCAAGGTCTAGATCTGAGGTGAGTTGATGGCTGCGTGTGCAAGTCCGAGGCCAGCACTTGTGCAGGGCACCCGTTCGAAGAAAATACAGGGGATGTAACGATGGCATGGATGTAGTAGCTTCCTAGTTACTGGTCCTGATGGCCTCCGCCCTATACTAGCTTGCTTGTGACCAGGACCAGTGGTGATGGCCTGCACCCTGTAGCAGCTTCCTTGGTACTAGTCATGATGCCACCTTCTTTGTTGCTGATCGTGATGGCCTCCACCCTCTAGTAGCTGCCTTGTTACTAGTTGTGATGGCCTTCACCCATGCCGCACCAAGTTCGGTCCAAGACCAAACCCTGACCGCGCGCAGGGGGCCCATTCCAGAAAAAAAAAGTGCGTGCAACGATAGCACCCGCCTGCAGTTTAAAGCGCTGCTTCTTGTCGGTGCACACAATCTCCTCCGCGACAGGCAGTGGCGAGGCAGCCAGAGAACCCTCCGACTATACTTATACGTCACCTGGAGATCCACTCCCCAGAAAAAACAACGCTCTTTTCTTGACAACTCTCTTTTCTAGACAAATTTCCCTGGAAATCGTTCCGAGGACAGACTCTGCTGCACGTGAGCGGTGCAACGAGCCCACGGCACCTCAATGTCCGTCACAGAGCATCGGAGCACACGAAGCTCTGCCAGGCACAAAATGTCCTCAGCGTTGGAGATGTTGCTTGCTTTCTCATCAAAAAATTCATGGGGTTTACATCAGCAGGGCTTAGATCAGACCCCTATGCAAGAAGTTGCTGTCTCAAACCAGGCTTGATCGGTCTCAGTCTCGTTCGAGACATTCACGTATGCTTTCGAGATCGTTTGAGATGAGAAGTAAGTAAACCACAGTGAACATATATATATATATTACTGCGCAGTGAGTTCACAGGAGACGTTTACACAGGAATCAACAGAGAACACATGAATTCACAGAGAAAAGTAAAAACACGGTAAACCCTATACCGTATGACCTCTTTCTTTGTGCAATCTCTCTGTCTGTACATGAATCGTTGTTCAAGGATATGTGAAAAGATCTTCAATGATAGCTGTTTCTCTTTCTTTTGCTCTCTAGTAGCTGAACAGGAAGTAGTAGTTGTAGTAGTAGTCGGTGTAATTGGTAGTAGCAGCAGTAGTGGTTGTTGTTGTTCTTGTCGTAGTAGTAGTAGTAGTAGTAGTAGTAGTTGTTGTTGTTGTTGTTGTTGATGTTAAACTAGTAGTGGTAGTAGTAGTAGTAGCAGCAGCAGCAGCTGCTAGTTGTAGAGAGAGAGAGAGAAGGATTGGTGTAAGGAGTTCATGTCTGGTAGAGTACTGTATGTCCAAAGTCGGGGCGCATGGAATGGAATGCCAAAACGTGTCCACGATGCCGCAAGAGGGTCGACTTTTTGTCTGAGGAAGGAAGGTCGTGGAATCTCAGCCCAGAACTACATGAACATCTCTAGAGGTTCCCCTGGAGCCCCTCGATCGAGCGTTCCCTCCACACAAACGAGGGGCTCCAAGCTGACAGAATCCGCCGTCACGTATCCGGATGCCAAGCGATACGGCCTTGCGGCGAAGAATCTTGCTCAACGCCTCGCAGTGGCCAACCCGATGGGCGTGGCTATCCGTTAGCAAGGTCGAGTCCTCGACGCATCGGAAAACCATGGTCACACGCTGACCTGGTGTGCATGCAGGAAACCATGTGGCCAAACTATACGTGCAGGAACATGTGTACCCAAAGAATTTGAATGGCATCGTCTTCGCAGAACGGTGGCTACCACTACGGCACATGCGGTGAAGCCCTTCACTCCAAAACTGTTGGGGCGTCTGTATTTCGATGCGCAACCACTTCTCTTCAGGCATGATGCAGCAAGGAGGACGTAGTTCATGAGAGGAGAGTTGATAATGAAATCGAATCCCTTGAATACGTGCACATCCCCGGGCCTTGGATATCCGAGCCAGCCGGATCTCGTTGCGTCCGGGACTCCTGCGCACACTCTGAAAGTGAACCACAGGTTCCAAATGACTGCACGCTTGGCTTCGAATTCCCCCAATGCTGCCATAGAGGCTTTTGGCATTGATGTGAAGTTATTTTGATAAATGGCCTTTGGCCTTGTAGAGCACCTCGGTGTGGCAAGATTGATCACAGTATCAACCAAGGTAACATACCTTGAGCCCCGCTTTCTTGAGATTACTCGAGAGCGCACGAAACTGAAAACTGAAAACTATATATCCATCTATCTATCTATCTATCTATCTATCTATCTACAGTATCTATCTACAGTATCTATCTATCTATCTATCTGCTTTATGCAATTTAACTATATTAAAGTGGGAGCGTTCAAAAGTCGTCACCAACAGTTTCATGGTTTTTCCAACACGGATCACCTTGAAGGACTCGAGCGCAGCAGGGACGGCTCATCATGCGTCGCCTCTGGCCTCGGCACTTGAAGGAGCACAAAATGGGCTATGTAGCGACCTTGATAGCTATGTGCTGATTTCTTTTCATGGTTTCAGTATTGATTCATGCTACCACCCCTTGTCAAACATGCTTGCAAGCTAGCGGCATGTTTGGCGGCTCGCGCTACATTTGGTTCACTACCACCTAGGACTAATACCTATTTGCTTGATGCTCAAGATTGCTGCAGTAAGGTGCTCTGAGGACACAAATGAAAAATGCGCATGTCACGCACAAACCTTGAATGATTCATCATGATTCAAGCTTTGCATCACAGAAGTGAAACGACATTTGGACAAAAAGAAATCTAACGTGGTCAGCCCACGCCTTCATCGTCTTCAAGCGGCCTTCGGCATTTTGCAGGTCACGAATCTGGTCCTGCGCAGGCAGCCGAGGCGTGCCGAGGCGCGCCGAGGCGTGCGGAGGGCAATAAAGAAGAGACGTCGGCCATCAGCCAAGTCAGCCCAGACCGAAAAAGTCCTGCAACTTCTCAATAAAATCATCAATCCTGATCAAACTGCGATATTCATGTGACCAGGTTGCACATGATTGATATGAATCATGCGTGAAGGCTTGGTTCAAGGACTCACGTTGGTAAGAAAATAGCAGCCTGGCACTCTGAAGCAAGGCTACGTTCAGACCCCTCCCCTTGTCGCAAAGTTCCTATATAGATATTTACATTGATATTACTAAACTATTGCATAGATAATGTCGACAGCGTTGCGGACGGTACTCTGGAAGAAGCTCAATCGCCCGACCTGTATGCTGCATGCTGGTGCGAAAGGCAAGGCAACACTTTGTTTGCAACAACAAAAGTCCGGTTCACCAAAGGCCGTGACTGAAGGCTTCGCCCAATATACGGACCCGGTCGTGCTGCGGGACCTCCAATAGCATGTTAGCATGTTCTCTAATTACCAGGACCCGGAATTCACAATTGGACTGAGCTTGCGGCAATGCCGCTTGGACCCACAGTTTGCAGCTCTCGTTCCACCTCAGCTCCATGTTTCTCGGGCCGCATTACGATTCCTGTTAGAACTGGGTGCGTTGCCCAAGCGGTAATCCTCGGCAAAAGTAGAGGCATCAGTGCGGGTGCGAAACACTCATGATATGCTGCCACATCCTGGGAAGACATGAAAATAGAAGGCTACACAGCAAAGCGCTAATAGCAAACTAAGCTAGCGCGAAATACGAGTCAAAACATCAGGCCAATGTGAGGTCTGGACTGTGCAGCCCCTGGCCTGGTTTCATCTACATAATCCAAACATCAAAGCCAAACACGACTCATGTCCAGAAAAGTTTGCTGCCGAGCTGCAACGCTCTGCCCAGATGGGCCTGTCACAAAAGCTTTTTCGAACGCTAAGGTTTACTAGGCAAGTCACCGCCCAGCCTCTCCAGAAGGCCTCTCTCGCCTGATGTGTTGATGCATGCAACTCACCCTGCAAGTTGGCACAGTCAGTACGTTGTTTCAATGTCGGCCTTGCTGAACCGAGCTGGTTCTCTGCCGCCTCAACTGAGAGCGCACACTCAATTCCAGTCAAACAAGGAAACATGCAAACCGCACATGAGCCCCCCGCCTGCCCCAGTGGACTACGGGGAACCCTTGCACTGAGATGGGTGCGTTTTACTGGCCTCACTCACTGCTACAACTTTACACGGTAAGGGCAGCAACAAAAGTGCGTTTCAACTTCCCTGAACGAGCCAAGCCACGGCACATAGCAAACCTCAAGTTCTGCATGTTTGGCTCCAGCAAAAGGGGAGAAGTTAAACGACACACCCTGAGACACATGCGCCAGGTTTCGATGACCAAAAATCATCACCGGGACCTTATATTCACATGACATCACTTACAAATTTGCTCATGACCAGCTGAGGCACCCAATGGCGATCGCGATTCCCAAGGTATGTCCTCTTTATCACGCGCAATTGTTCAAGTGTGGCCCGTGTTCAAGAATTCGGAAACATACCTGCCTGGGCCCCACCACCTACAATTCCAGGGAGTGTCGTTCTCAGACCTGAATTGCCCAAACCAAAGTGGCAAGGAATCAGGAAGATGCAACTCTTAAAAGCTTAGTTCAAGCGCTGGCCATGTAGGGGCCACACCCTGGCGCGAGGCAATGCCAAACAAAAACACAAACCAAATAATTGAGCCTGAGCAATCATCATGCACCAAGTTCCCAACTAATCTGTTCCACGCGAGTTCGTGCCGCTCATTGTTCCCGCAAAAAGTCCTGTTGCGCCGCTAGCCTGGGTCTGAGCCAAACACTGCCCACACGGACGTGGCCCAACAAACAGTTATCATATAATATGTTTCATGATTCACTCTTTTTGGTACCCCACTCGCTGTTGCCAGCCCTGGTGCATACTAAAGCCCCAAAGCCCCATCTCCCCCACAGCTTTGTTTGATAACACTACAGTAGGATCTGGGTCAGCCTCTTTGTCTGTTCAGGCTTAGAGCTACTCCTAAGTTTACCAGGGCTACCACTAAATCTTTCAGACCTATTACTAAGCCCTTCAGAATTGCTTTTAAAACAGAACATAAATGTCCAAGCTGCTTGTTGTGTTCCTTCTGTTTTTTTGAAGCCGTATCAATGGAGTGGGACAATTTGGGACTTCAAACGGGTCTGGAGGTCCTATGAAACTTACACACGTTTGTTTGTTGTTGCCTTTCCTTCACCCTCCCAACAGCTGACATGTTTCTTTCCAAGTTGTGTTCTTTTTTGCTCGCTGGGATTCTCGGTTCTTTCGCCCATCATCTCATCATCTAGTCCAAAAGTATCTAACCATCCCTTGGCCAAATACCACGCCCAACCATTGGTAGTGTCCATATCACAAAACCATTTTCTTCAGTCGCAGCATGTCCATATTGTACACGGTGATAATATAATCCAAAACAAAACCAACAATACAAACAATTACCCCTACGACGACGTAGTAGTAGTAGTAGTAGTGGCAGTAGTAGTAGTGGCAGTGGTGGTGCTAGTGGTGGTGCTAGTGGTGGCGCTAGTGGTGGTGCTAGTGGTGGTAGTAGTGGTAGTAGTGGTACCAGTGGTAGTAGTCGTAGTAGTAGTTGTTGTTTTAGCTTTAGTTTTAGTTTTAGTTCCCCACATTGTTGTGTGGGGTTCTTGTTTTTTTTGCTGCACCTCCTCGCTCCTCCTCCGCCCTCCTTCCTCCTTCCTCCCTCAACCTCTCTCACACAACATCTCTCACAACAACATCTTGCTCACACAACATCGGATGCCAAGGGGTCGGATGACAAAACATCACTCAGAGAACATCCCACACACACAGACAACATCCCAC